TCTTATTCCTTACTGTGTAAACATAGACATTAATGTTTAGTTACAGGTAATTGCTCTTTCACATGTTGCACATATTCGTTGAAACTTCGTTCTGGCTTTTTACTTCTTAATATGTCCACATTTAAGAGTATGTTTACATCTAATACATACCTTTTTGCGTGTACTCTTGGTAGACAATGCCTAGTCTTAATTGATTATATGTTGCCTTGTATATATAATTAATAATGTTTGATTCTAGTTCCTTATTCTTGTTCATTACTCCTTCACTTGTACACATTGAAGATAATGCTTAGTATTGGTTAATTATTCCTTGCCATGTTGATTGTGCCCTAACTTGTACACATAACTGCTAATGTTTGATTCTAGTTCCTTATTCTTTAACATGTACACTTAGAAGTTAATGTTTAGTTCAAGTTCCTTACTTCTTCACATTTACCCGTGGTAGATAATACTTAGTCCTGGTTAATTATTCCTTGCGATATACACATCCATATTAAGGTTTGGTTCTAGTTCTTACTTTTTTATATGTCCACATAGAAGATATTATTTAGAAATTGTTCATTACTCTTTTACATGTACACATAGGAGATAATGTTTAGACATAGTTAAATCCTCCTTACTATCTCCCACTTAGAATATTCTATTTGGTCATGATTCATTTATCCTTTCCGTATACAAACAGTTGATGTGTAGAAATAGTTGCTAATTCTTTACATGTATACTTAGATGTTAATGTTTATTCTAGTTCATTACTTCTTCAGATACAACACATAAAGTATGTTGTTTAGTCATAGTTAATTACTCCTCAGTAGATGATGCTTTGATCCAGTTCCTCTTTAGCATGCATACTTGGACATTTCATGTTTAGTTCTCTTTCATTACTTCTTAACATGTACACATAGGTGATAATATCATTTATTCTTCCTTAACTTGCAAAACCTTGATGATGATGTATAGACTTCATTCATTACTCTTTAACATGTCCATTTAATCATCAAGGTTTTGCCATAGTTTTTATTGCATAGTGTGTACCCATGAATGGTAATGTTTAGTTCTCATCCATTACTCCTTGACAAATCACACGTAGACAATACTATTTTGTTATAGTTCATTACATCTTAGCATTTACACATAGTGGATAATGTTCTGTCCTCATTCACTGCTCCTTAACATGTCCACATGGTCTATAAAGATCAGGTATGGTTATTTATCTTTTTACATACCATTGGAAGTTAGGTTTAGACATAATCATTTATCTAACAAATGTCCATTACACCTTCACTTGTACACGTGGCAGTTAATGTTTTGTCCCAGATCTTTACTTCTTCGCATGCCCAAAAGACTATAATAATTAGATCTGGTTAATTACCACTTCACATCCCATTAGAAGATAAGGTTTAGACATGATTGTTTGTTCCATGTAGTGTCACCATTAGTCACTGTTTACATGTGACTACTTGAGAACATAACATGTACTCTTAGTAGATAATGTTTAATCTTCTTTCCTTACTCCTTTACATGTACATGTAGAAGATAGTGTCCAGACTTGGTTCTGGGTCTATGCAGGGCTTTTTTGATATGGTATGCACCAGTACAGCGTTCCGGCACCATTTTTCATATTGCAAAATGGAGAAAAAGGTGACAAAACTTGAAAAAGAGTAATGTAAATGAATGTATGAATTTTCCTCTTTGAACAAATCTTTTGTTCATAAGAAGACCAAAGAGACACCAAACTAGAAGTGTTACAAATGACAAAGTTTAAAAGAATGTGAAACATACTGTTTGTTTGATTGTGTATGTGTGATCATCAGTGTAGTATAAGGTGTTAAACATCAGGTAGGATTAGTGTGCCATTAATAGGGAACATCAATGGTCACATGGTTATAACACCAACAAGACGTGGCCGCTATCAGTCGATGTACGGTAGTGGCCTCACTTTCATTGACAGGTTTCAATTGGGCAGCAGCACATCTCTGAAGGCTGTCTTCTCAACATGACCAAGTCCAACCCACATATTGGTTCTTCACCCACTGATCTTCCATTGTCTTGCTTTCTCATTGTTCCTCCTCCTTTTGTTGCCTTGCCACAACCCTCACTGCAAAACTTCTCTTCTGGTCTTCTGTGCCTCATTCCTCAGCCCTCCACCAGGTCTGGTCCCATAACTTTTTATTATGCCTATTCTCCTCTTCAACTCCTTCCTCAGTTTCTTACTCTGTTTTGAGACACTCCTTACAAGGTCCTTTTGACAGCCCCTCAGAGGTAATCCTAACTGTAATAACTATTCCTCCATCCTCTCATGTTTCAGCCCTAGATTTGCCTTCCCAACATTCCATCTCTTCTGATCCACCCTCAGACATCACTCTTTCCTCTGAATATGACATCCCTTTATCTTTGCATATGGGATTTCTCTGGTCCACCTCCCTGATTGTGTAGCTGTCCCTTTGTCTTATTCCTGCCACCTTTCTACCTCTTCTGTTTGCCAAAATATGGGACATACTTATCACTCTGGTCTCATTGCCACCACTTCTCTTTGACTTCCTTACATTGTAATACATTTCTCCTATTTCACAGGATGGTTCTTGCATGATCTGTAAGTTTCTTCTATCTCAGGTTTTAAAGTAGCATTTCCTCCACCTACCACCTTTCCTGATGCCACAGTATCCTTCATCTCTGCCTCTTTTCTAACCTCTTTCATTCCTTCCTTATCCACTGCCCCCTTCTTACTTCCTGTCTGATTGAATTATCATTGTGGTTCTCCATGTTCTTACCCAGGTCCATATTGAACCTCTAGCAGATGTTTCTACTCTCCTTAAACCCATAAATCTTATTCTTACTTGCCATTGGTAGCTGTTGTACACATATACATGCCCTTGTTTCATCGCAATTTCTCATTACTGCTCTTCCCTTTTCTTTTGTCCTGTCCAGGTCACTCAATGTTTTCTCACACTCTTCTTCCTTGTGGTTCCTCATACTGTTCTTTCATAAGTGGGACACCTCCTCTACCTGGGGTCTCTCTCCTTACTCCATTACAGATTAAATATGCCAACTCATACATCTTGTATAAGTCCGTCTCTTCAACTTTAACCCCCTTTTCTCTGGACTGACATGTGAACTACCCTACAATCATTTGTTTCACATTAAACTCTCTCTGCCATCTACCTGTCTTGTCTCCAATAGCATACAGACTTCAATTAATCCTACCCTTGTAATGGATGCAAGTATTCATTTAGTTATTCCTTCCTTACTGTTCTTCTACTTTTGAATCCCACTAGGTGGCTAGTGGTACCTCAAAGAGTATACTTACCAAACATTCCACATCAGGCCAGGATAATGGAAAGAATATACTTACATATAACCATTCATTGAAAAATTCAGTACCAGCTAGTGCTAGTTGGTCTTTAAAAGTAGGGTTTTGCAGTTACCAATTGTACTGTCTTCAGTAAAAGACCTTTCCAGACTAAAGGACCAATGGAGATTCAGGCACATTCACCAGGCTTCCCCTACATGAATTCTTCCCCTCTTCCTGTGTGGAGAATAGGAGCCACTTACCAGCTCCCAACTGCTGGGGTGGTGGACCATGGAGAATCCTTACTGATTGGAAGCTGAAAGCAGGTGCTAAAACACACTCTCTGTACAATGAAAAGTTTGGCTATGGTGTTTCTGTAGTATAGTATGGACCTATTTAGATTTGCTCCAAGCTGTTTAGATACATTACAATCTTCAAGTGAATCTTGGACACATATCTCACCTACTCTCTATTCTTCTTTACCTACTCTTGCTAAGTACATGACCCCACTAATTATGGTTGCAGTTATTGATATTTCTTAATATCCAACTGTGATGATCATTTATTAACTGTACTCCCACAGCTGGTGATGGGCCCATACAGTCTGCTGATTGAGTATTGGTTTCATGTGTTCACTGCAATGTCCTCCTACTGTGACTGGCCTGGGCTCTTAATGTCTGAAGTTTGAACAGCTGTACATGGATACTTTTTACATGTGTCCTTTTGCCACAGCTGGTATGCACCTGTAAAGACTGATGGTTGAGGAGGTGAGCACACTTGGTACAGTCTGAATGTGCTCCAACCTTACTACACATATTAACCTTCCATTGGCTTCTGTGCAAGCTTTTGGATGTTATGTACCTTTTCTGCCCATCCTTGCAACACCTTTTAGGCTTTTCATCTCTCCATATCTCCCAATCCTTCACTTGGGCAAAGAATATACCCTGATTGAGATAAGATGTGGTCTCTCATAGGAGCGCCCCTATAAAGCCACTGGCATAGGGTGTCACACCTCATGGGCTTCCTTTTAGCACTCTTGAAAGGAGGCTTATGTAGGTATTTTCTGCACTTGTCTCTCCACCATGTCAGTGTGGGAATCTGCGCATGGAGGTGAGTTATCATTTCAGAGTCTAACATTTTCCTTACCTGAAAATGTATTTCTGATAGATACTCACCTCTGTGCACATTTCCACCTTTCCTTCCTAATTTTCCAGTACACTTTTATTGATTTTTTCATCAAAGAATGAAGATTTTTCACATGAATGTAGAGGGAGCATTTGCACAGGAAGATATGTAGTACTCCTATTCGAGGAGGGTTTTGCTGCATGATACATTATCATGCAGTAGTTTAAATTCATGTGTTTTCATGTGAATGTTAAGTGGGAGTTCGATAAGGCTAGTGACATGCAAATCTCTAAGGCAAAATAGTGTAACTTCAAGAGGCAAATAGTTAATCTGTGCAAGGAGGTGAGTATCTCTTGGAAATACGTTTTTTGGGTAAGGAAAATATTAACTTTTTTTTTCTCAGAAATATATGTATTTATGTAGTTGATGTCTGAAAACTAACAAGTTTTTTAATAATTAACTTTTTTAATAATGTATGTTTACATCTGATATTTATCAAAATTGCCTTTTTTTAAACCTTTTCTTGCAGGTGTTTCTGCTGTGTTGAGCTATAAATGTTTGAATAACTACATTATTATACTTGTTGCAGGTATTTTTTATGTCACTCCATTTGACCATCCTACCATTTGGTATGTATGAATTACATAGTCACTTTTTTAATACATAAAAAATAACAAGTTAATTCATATCCTAAAATTAAGATTGCCAAGAGTTTTACCTTTTAAAAA